GCTAAATCGTACGTGAGGGTTAAACGAACATGTAGGGAGACAGGAGGAGGGTAAGGTTGGGGTATGGATCATAATACACGTTAGATTATCATCTAATTTTGCTACCGGTATATTCGTTGTTTTTTCATGGTGGTCTCCTCAAACAGACAGACATCTGCTGTAGTTGGCGATTATCTCGCCGATGCTCTCACGGAAGAGAAATACATTGAGGAATGCAGTGAACGATACGAGTATACCGCGGCTTTGGAGATTCATAACATGGATGAGCGTGAGTCACGGTCTGGGTGTAAAATGTCGTACGGTGTTCAAGGTAAGGTTCCGAACGATTCCGCGTTGAAGAGACAATGCGGCCGCTACATGACAGACAATGAAGGCCTTCGGTGGACCCAACACGAGTTGCTCAGGATGTTGAAGAAGAAGGAGGTGGAACTGGCTGCGCTCAGGAGTGCGTTTGAAAAAATCGAATTGAATGCACAATCAGTGGTTGAAAGTTTCCTTGAAAGGAAACGAAGTGAAGAGATGAGAGATTGTTTTTTGTCCGGTAGTGTGGATGTGAGGAAGGAGGATATTGGCGAGGACATTGGTAAGCAATTTAGGCATTTAAGTTGCTGAGCTTAGTGGTAGAATTGATCCGCATGTGTGACAAGAGTGTGAGTCTTTGCGTCTACGATGTGAAGCAGCCGAGAGTGGGATCAAAAAATTGTTGTCGGCAGGTGGCTTGCCATCTATTGATTCTTCTTTTGCATCGAAGTTGTTTGAGCTTCCATTAATTCAAACTTTGGAAGAACTTCCAAAAAGCTCCTTAATTGCTATGTTGCAATCATTATGAACGGTTGGTTTAGAGCTTGCACATAGAAATGCATTGTTGGAGGTACAGAAGACAATGAGGTTTCCGGTGAGCGATAGTCAGTTAAGGGTCACGGTTGTTAGTCTTCGACAGTTGTACAATGATACGCGGGAAGAGTTAATGGACGTTGTGTTTCGGGAGCATTTCTCGGATCGATGCGATTAGGGACTGACGAATGGCCTGATGACGAATTACAAGCAAGAATCGTATACCCTGAGGATTTTATTAGCAAATGTCATTACTGCTCGTTGCCTGGTACAATTTATGAAGGAGATGGAGCATGTGAAAAGAGAATTGAATGCTTTTGCGAGCACAAATAAACAACATGAGACGAGATTTTATGAGCTGAACACTGAATTCTTGAAAACCTAACAAAACCATAAAACCTCACATTTTTTATGTCTTACATCTTAAAGGAATAAGTGGTCTGGGGGTTATGCTCCCAGCGGGCCCAGGAAAAAATCCAGCAGGAAGTTCCACCCGGAGTGCCGCAGGGAACCGACGAGGGTCATGGTGGTGTGCGGGGGTGTCGGTTCGTGGGGAACATCCGCGGGGCCCGTATTTGCAATGAGGGTCATTGTCGGACATGACTCCCAGGGTGTTATAGAGGCCGGTTTCTAGGCACACATTGATCGCCAGGAGAGGTCAGCCATGGTCGTCATGAGGGAACGAGGCTACCTTTCCTACCTAAGTGTGACCAGCACTCAGGACCGTTACCCCTATCGAGGGGACCATGGACCGAACAGCAGTGACAGGCACCAAGGCTAGCCATGACCCCGCGTTGGTGGAAGCAGAATCGAATGAGGCTTGTCGCACGGAAATTTCGCATGCCAGGCCCAAGCAATCTCCGCGCGGCCCGTGGGAAAAAGGAAGGCCGGCCCGAGTAGCTGGGAGCAGAGGGTGTCGAAGCTGCACGCGGTGGGTGCCGGGGACACACACACACACACACAACCCGCCTGATGAGTTGGTGAAAGTCTGACGTAACAGTCTGGTACAGTCATGCGTTTTTTGAGTGTATAGTGAATATGACAACACACATACACACACACACACACACACACACACACACACACACACACACACAC